GGAATGCTGAGTAGTTATGCTATACTGCACACGCTGAGCGGATAGCGTGATGGAAGATAGAATGATAGGTAGATACAAAGATAGTCTACTAGAATATATAGACTAAGAGCTACAGGAAAAATCACTCAATAAAAAGAAGCTCAAGACTCTTCCTTACAAGGTTTTTCATAGGATCCTGACACTATGTGATTCAGGCCCAACCTACTGTACCCAAATCTTATTTCCATACCCTAAGAAATTGATGGGTGCCCTTCTCCTATAGGTTAGGGGATTATGACACTTACTCTCTATATATTAATAAGGATCATCTCACTCCAAAAACTGCCAAACTAGGCTTTCTTGGTGACTTTCAAGTTGTGGTGTACCCTGCAGTTACCAACCAGTTGTAGATGCTGGATAAACTTGCTCAGTGTTGTGTATAGTTCCTCCCCCTGGTTCCCCAAAGTTCAGGGACCATTCCCGTCTATGCCAAAGGTTACCAGCTTTTCTGCTGACTTACTCTTAACTGATTATACTTTTAGCTATATAGCAGATCTGCCGGATCTTATAGGCCCCGTAGGCTTCTTGCATTTCAGCAAAACTTATTATTAGGAATCACATGCCTCAACACATCCTAAATTCAAAGGAATTAATACTGATAAAATATAAGAGTGAAATGGATTCATTCAGAAAAAAAACATATTATTTGATACGGCTGGCTGGATTAGTAGGATATAATAGCTTGCAAAATAATCCTATGGGCTACACAGTTGGGTGGGATATGGGTCTGTTTTCATGCCCACTCCTACACCTTTGATTAGGGACAGTTCGGGGTCCCCACACTAGTGCTGACCTCAGCCAATGTGCAGAGAGGGGGGAGAATTCCATGGGAGTCGGGTGAGCAGAGACACAGCAAGAATAACCCGACTGATGAGTGTCCCCAGGGCACAAACAACCAACATTTTCAACCTGAACCATCAGGACCAGCTCTAGAGAGACAGAAAAGCGGCGCCATTGCACAAACAAGTCCCCGAGCCGAGAAGAAGGGGCTCGAATGGACACCGGTGTTATTCCGCACGTCTCTGCTTCCCGGCACAAGGGGGAGTTTGGGAAGAAATAAAAACACGTGTCCAAAGGCCATTTCTGTCCCATGGGCACAGAGTGCCTGACTGCCCCCCTGCTTTCAGACATGCCCCAGGAAATACATTATTTCAATAGCATAAAAGCCAATGAATTCTCCTTTGTTCTCTTGCCTTACAAATGGACCAGCTGTGTCCAATGGCCAGCGTGCCCCGTGCTTCGGTACCCATATTGCTGCACCTGTCTGGAGGTGCTGACCGCCCAACTTCTCAACATCAAACTCAGGGACACTAAATAACTAGTCCTTTTAAACAGCTGATCCTGTGTGCATGGTAGGAAAGTTGGTGTTGCAATGACAGAGGCCCCGGTATTGTATGCTAAGGATGATATATGAGTTGACCAGGGCTTTGATCAAGTATCAGGCGCCGTGTGAAAGATACAGTCACTCGATCCTTGCTAGACACTCTAGTCCGTCACTCTCCTCCAGGAGCTCGGGGCTGGGATCTGGAGCCCATTCGCAGTTGAATTGATCAGTCTCTTAGGAAAAGGGGAAGATGCAAATGCGGCTACTCACCTCCCCGGCTCTAAACCCCTCATTCCCTGGATCCTGAAGCTCTCGCACTGAGAAGCCACAGCCTTGTGGGTTCAAGCAGTGAAGTCGTTATTTACCCTGGGCCTTTCCCCAAATACAAAAACCAGGGGTCACCAAATGAAATTAATAGGGGTCCGAAAGTCTAATGAGGATCCTAATGCCCCGTGCCCGTCGCTGCACAGACACCCAGGACGGGACAATCTGACTCCTGCACCCAGAGCCCTAGGGCGAGTCAGTCAGATCACTGGCAGCAGGAGTGTGTGTCTCTTATAAGAACGGAAATATGCAAATGAGGTAGACATTTTCTTGTTTAAATCTGTGTCTCTTCCTGCCCAGGCCACACCCGGAGACACAATCCGCAGCCCCTGGGTCTGTGCAGTGACCAGCCAGTCCCCTGAGAAATTTCCCCTCCAGCACCAGGGAAAATGGGATTTTTGCTCCTTGTAATTTTCGTTGTAGCAGCTTTGGAAGGTATTTTCCTCCTCTGAAGAACTGGCAGAGTCAGAAGAATATTGTGATACCGCTGTTTTTATACCGATATTAATGGCCTGTCTTTATTCTCAGGTGTCCGGTCCCAGGCGCTGGTGGAGTCTGGAGGGGATGTGAAAAAGCCCGGAGACTCTCTCCGCCTCTCCTGCAAAGCCTCTGGGTTCACCTTCAGCAGCTACTACATGGATTGGGTCCGCCAGGCTCCCGGGAAGGGACTTGAATGGGTCGCTGATATAAACCCCAGTTTGGGTATTGTATACCTTGATTCAGTGAAAGGCCGATTTACCATCTCCAGGGATAATTCCAAGAGTGAGCTGTATCTGCAAATGACCGGCCTGAAACCCGAGGACACCGCCCGCTATTACTGTGCGGCCGGAGACACAGTGAAACGAAGCCGATTTGTGATCATACAAAAACCCAGGCTGCGGAATTGCCCTTCTCCCGGCAGCCGCATGGGGGCAGCAGTGACACACACACCACTCCGGGCTCAGACAGGAGACCCGGCAACCTGGTGAATGTAACACAAACCTCCTGTCAGTTTTAACCCTTCTGTTCCCGGGTAATGTCTCTGTATCCTGCCCAGAGCCCCGCTGGGCCTGAGGTACAGAGATACCTCGCTTCATCTGTGAACCCCAATCCAGAGTGAGTCTGGTTCTGCGTCGCTCTCCCCTCATAGACCTGGCACCTTGGCTCTCCTGGGACCCGTCTGGGTGTCAGATTCACAGGACAGCTCTAGGGGACAGGCGCATTGCTGGATTGATCCAGTGCCCATCAGAAAGAACGAGATTCATCCTCTTGCCCTCATTGGGTTTGCATCAGACCCAACGGATGGAGCGAATTCCTCATGGGGTCAAATCTTCAGCTAGTGTAAAGTCACTGCAACTGCTTCCACTAGACTCGAGTTACTCCAGATTTACACTAACTGGGGATCTGGGTGTAACTGTGCCTTGGTGGGTGACAACTGAGAATATCAAATTCAGGACAAACTGCTGAGAAATAGGACAAATACACCCTAAATCTGGTAGTTATTATCCCATAAGATATACCAAATTAGCAACAAAGGTAAACTGCTGTTTCACCACACTGGCTAACAAGAAGTCAGAAAAACAGTTTCCTTAGGTTTTCCAGTCCTTGTATCAACACCAGAACCACTAGACTTAAAGATGAGTTGTTCTTTAAAACAGTTTCATCTAATAAAATCCAGATAACGTCACACCCCCAATGCAAAATCGATTCAAGGGATGTCCCAGGCACTGCTGAATGCAACATTGGATCTTCCCATTCTTGGTTCTGTATTACTACCGCTTCTAACCCAATAGTAGAAGTGTCAGTGTATAACAGAAATCATAGAATCATACAATATTAGGGTTGGACGAGACCTCAGGAGGTCATGTAGTCCAACCCCCTGCTCAAAGCAGGACCAACACCAACTAAATCATCCCAGCCAGGGCTTTGTCAAGCCTGACCTTCAAAACCTCTAAGGAAGGAGATTCCACCACCTCCCTAGGGAACCCATTCCAGTGCTTCACCACTCTCCTAGTGAAATAGTTTTTC